TTTAGCCAAGGCAGGTGGGAAGACACTAGCAGAGGCTGGCAAAGCAGTAGGTGCAAACTCCAGCGGGTCTCCAAGGACTTCCTATGACTTCCCACTGGTGGAGTCTCGTGTCCCGCTGGGATGTAGATGATGCTCAGATGAATCAAGCTCCCTTCCTTATTCCCCGCGGGCTGTTTTTACTTCCTAGAGACTGCCCACACCCTCTAAGCCTCAGTTTCCTCACGTGCAGGAAATGTGGGCTTGTGATATCTCTGACTACGCAATGTTCTTAGATAGAAAAATGATTTGCAAGCTGCAAAGGGCTCCTTAAAATGGTACCTGCCACCCACAATCACCCCCACGGCTGGATCCAGGACAGCACTTCACTCACCACAATGTCCTTCACGGCCCGGAAGGCCTCCCACAGTTTCTGGAGAACTACCCCCTCCACTCGACAGGGCCCAAACTGCAATTCTTGGCTCTGGCCCCCGGGCCCGCAGCTCCAGAGAAGCAGGATCAGACTCAGGCGGGGAAGGGCAGCCGTGTGCACCGGGAAGCCCATGTGCAGCAAAGGAGGGACCAGCACGATCCTGCTGGGAGACAGGGAGGCATCACACTGACGCAAGCTCTCTGCCCCAGGAGGGGTACTCGGCCTCGTCCCGCCTCGGGGGCACAGGATGGGAAACCTGAGACTAGGGTGGGTTCCCAGTGTTAGAATGTCACAAACGCATGGCCTGACTGGGGTGCTCTGGGGTGGGGCAAGGGTTTTTCTGCCCCTCAATCTCATACCTACCAATCTGGCTAACTCACTCTCTTCCCCCATCGCCCCCACCCATGCCCAGCCACGCCACACACACACCCTGCATCTCCTTCTTTGCTCCAGGACACTTCTCTATAGCCAACAACCTGCTAGTCAGAATTTGACCAAAAAGAGTGAAGAAATGGGGACTCATCACATGCCAAAGAACACACAGACAGAGCCCCAAACTCCGGAGGATAGAGAGCTTAATGAGCATTTGCTTGTCTGAGTCCTGCCCTTAAGTCACAGGGCACACTTGGGCAGGTCTTGTCCCCTCCCCCAGGAGAAGGCCACCTCTGACTCCTCCTCAGAAGCGAGCCCCAGGATTAATCCTGGCGCCCGGAGAAGGGTGCAGCTGGCAGATTCTGGTCATACACTCCCTCTGCCACCTCAACTGACCGACTCACTCTTGACTCTAAGTGCTAACCTTTCAGGTAGCTGAGCAAGAGGAGGAATCAGATTTCTGGATGAATCACCTTGAAAACCTTCCTCTGAATGACTGTGTGAGGAGCCCCAAGCTAGGGGAGAGGAAGCCTGCTGTCGATCCGTCTGCCTGCATGGCTGTGGGCAGATTCTTTCTCCCTGACTTCTTTGCCCTTTGCTTTTCTTGCTTCCTTCTTGCCTCCCACCATCCCCCGCCACGCTCTCTGCCTCCCTTTCTTCTTCCAGGAACTGGTCTCACACCTGAAGACGCTCAGGCTTCCTTCCACCCCTAGACTGGGCGGGAAGCCGGGAGCAGGCGTGTCTCTGGAGTGCCTGCCAACACCCGGGCCAGAGAAGCGGGCCCCGGGCCAGCACCCGCTGTCCTGTCTTGCAGCTCTGGGCTCAGCATCTCCCTCGGTGTTTCCGTTCTCTTCTTTCATACCCCACACTCGGGCTTTGCAGCCTCTCCTACAAACTCATCTCTGGGTCTCATGATCTTCCTGGCCTTCCTCTCATCCAGTCTAAGTCCTTCTTGGTGTTAAACCCGAGAAAGCAGCATCTCTTCCATAGTATAGCTCACCCTTCCATGAACACTCGGAAAAGGTGACTTCTGCCACCCCCAGCCCCCATTCCCCCTAAGGCAGTGGACGGTCTAATGCTTCAAAGCCAAGTACTCAGGAATCTCCCATCACTCACCTCAGCTCCCTGAAGTGATGCTGGGGGTTTACTGTTTGGAGGTGCCTGGCTCCGGCTGTGGGGGAAGAAGGTTGGGCAGGCACCCACACCATTCACCGATCAGAGGTGTACCTGTGGACAGAAGGTTCCTGTTTCAGCTACAGAAGATGTTTCAAGGATAACGGTGCGCAGGCAAGCAAGGCTTTGTGGAGATTCATTTATACGGGGGCTGCAGGAGAGGGGCGGAGGGAGAAGAGGGAGGTGGAGCAAGGGAAATTTGTCATGCTTTCCTAGAGAATTGCTTCACTATCTAGTCACTGTTCATTCCGAGACAATGGGGCAATGGGGAGAGAAAGCAGCCCCTGACAGGAGATGAGACTTGGCTCTGAGTTCTAGCTCTGTCGCTGGCGGTGTGACTAGGGGCAGTTTTCCTGAACCTCAGTTTCTGCATCTTTCAGATTAAGACAAACAAACAAACAGCAAACTGTCCCACCACCCCCGGAGGACAGGTGTAAGGAGCAAATGGGAAAACAACACAGGTGCTTTGTAAACTCTGTAAACATTTATACATCAATTACCACTGTGCACAGCTCACTAGTCTCCTTCCTGCCAAAATCACTCAATAATTAAGCGCTGTTAATGACACAACAGTAACCAAGAGGCCGAGGATAGCTGAGAAATGCTTCTCCTATTTAATCCATCAGGGACAAGAATCTGGGGAGTGTTTCCTGACCTGCAGCCACCCAGGCGTATAATCACTTAACCGAGACGTGCCCCTTCTTGGGTCGAGGAAGAAAGAGGAAAGTAGTGTGCGTGGCCAGGAAAGCTGGCAGCTCCGGGCTGCTGGTGGCCTCACCTCGGCTGCTGCTGCTCCACCAGGAATCACCCAGGGATGCGGGGCTGTGGCATTTCAGGAGCATCAGTGCCATCAAGAGACGAGGCCATGAGTTCAGCTAGCAAGACACTCAGGCTTCAGGTTTTCCGTGTGTGAAATGAGGGGCAGACTGGAGCAGTGTTCCCAGAGCATGTCCCACAGAATCTAGGAATCTAAGAGTGTCTGCAAGACAGTGCGTGCAACAACGGATTTCCTGGTCAGTCAATCAGAGAAGCCTGGCACGTTCTAGCTTCTTTTGGAAACTCAGAGTGCCCTGGTGGGGTGGGGGGAGTCAGCATGTGTTTAACTTTCTTTAGCCCAGCCTTTCCCACCAGTATTTGACCACATCCTTGGGAAACACGTTTTGAGAAACCCTGAACTCTGGATGAGGAATTAGCAAACTATAAGCCAAGAATACGCTAAGAATGGCTTAGCCTGGTGGCTGAAAAACAGTCTTTACCTTTTTTAATGATTGAAAAGAAAAATCAAAAGAAGAACTTGTGTTTCATGATTCATGAGAGTATGGGAATTAAAATTGCAGTGTCCATAATAACATTTTTATACAGACATAGCCACGTCCGTTTGTTTACACGTGGTCTATGGCTGCGTTTGTGTTACAGTGACAGGGATGAGCAGTTGTGACAGGGACCATTTGGCCCACAAGGTCGAAAATACTTACTATCTGGCCCTTTGCAGAGCCCGGCTCTAAATTACCTTCTTGCCCAAACATTCTAAGAGTTTCCTTAAACCTGGGTCCAGGCAAAGAGATGGGCTTAGAAATATGATGTGAGGGGCGGGGTAACTTTCTCCCACTCGGTGGAGGAGGAAGGTCAGGGGACCCTGGGAGGAACAGCCCTTTCCAGTCTCTCCAGTCGGCAGACCCTGAATCCCTCTGGCACCAGCACCCTTTGCCCCCATCACACACACAGTGCTGTTTATTTTCTTTAGCGAGTCAAACACCTGTTGTCATCCCCGTCCGGCAGGCTGGCCTGCTGCCACTGCCACTACGGAGATTAAGCTTGAGCCGTTTGCTCCTGGAAGACTTGAGTCTTGTCCTCTAGTTCAAAGTAGGGGCCCGCGTCACACCCGCCTTTTCCCTTCAGGGTCTAGATCATTACTAACAATCCCTAACTACTACGGGAAGAAGATGCCAAGAGGTATGAGTGAGAGAGAAGACAAAGAGTGCTGGGGAGGCGGGGAAGGGCTGGAGAGACTAGACAGCTAAGGCAGGAAGCTGGAAGCAAAAAATGAGTCCCTAGGTTGGGTGCAATCCTGGCCAGCTGTCTGCTGATCAGCAGTGGGGCGGAGGGATGAGCTGTTAGCAGGGCAGGCTAGGGCAGAGGCCTGAGGTCATGGATATAGCTTGGGAGGTTCCGGGATATCCACCTGGGATCCCGAGCAGCTCATTCTGTTTAAGGGAGACGTAATATAATATGGAGATTCCAGGCAAATACGGGCCTGAGTCTCAGGCTTGGCTGAGCTCACTGTAGCAAGATTTCCCTGGAAGCCAGGGCAAGGAGAGAACTCCAGGGCCTTGGCCCAATATCAAACGAGATCGCTGTTATGAATAGGAGCTTCGCATGGAGGCAGACCTGGGGCCAAAACACGGTGAGCCTCTCTGAGCGCAGCTTCCTCATCTGTAAAACCAAGTCCTCGCAGGGCCGCAAGGACACAATGACATAGAGCCTTGCCACTCAAAGTGTGGTCTGCACCAGCAGATCAGGTACAGGGTATATATAGGGTATCGGGGAGCATGTTGGAAATGTGAGACCCCAAACCTTCCCCCAAAACTACTGAACCAGCATGTGCGTTGTAAAAACTCCCAAGGTGACTTTGGTGTGTATTAAAATTTGAGAAGCATTTTCATAAAACACGTGAAGGACAACCTAGTCTTCCACCTGGTAAAGGCTTCAGGTGTAGAAGGGACTATAGCAGCAATTCTCAGTGGGGCAGTTTTGCCCCCAGGGGACATCTGACAGTGTCTGGAGAACTTCTAAGTTGTCATAATTGGGGAGGTGAGGGATGGGAGGTGGAGGTGCTACTGACAGGTAGTGGAATGGGCCACGGATGCTGCTAAACATCCTGCAGTACACAGGACAGCCCCCCATCGCAAAGGATCATATGACCCCTAAACGCCAACAGTGCTGAGGCTAAGAAATCATGGGCTGGAGGAAAGCAGTGGCTGTGGGGGAAAGAGCTGAAACAGGAGCAGAGAAGATAAGAAGGTGACCCTTCTCTGGGAGGGCAGGGGAGTGGGGAGCAGTGGACTGATGAAATGGTCAGGAGAAGGAAAAAACAAGATGGCAACTAGGAAGGCAGTGCCAAAAGCCTCCTGGTGGGAGCAGATGGGCGAGGCCTGGCTCACTGGCTCACCATCCCTTCCCCCGGGGGAAGCTCCAAGTCTCAGACTTTGGGAGGTTGGAGAAAGTGGGGCTGATCCTTTAGTCCAAATTCATATGTTTTCATCCAAACTCCATCCTGGAGCAGATTAAGACCAGAGGCTCTCCTAATCTCTATAATCTCCATGCTCTCTGGAACTTGGAGAATTTCCTTTACAAAAATATTGGGTGGGAGAAAAGGTCCTCTGAGGATAAACTTTGATTTACAAGGCTACTTTCCCCACTAAATACTGTTTATTAGACGTAGGGGGTTTATTCTGTTACTCTCATGCCGTCTCTGTCGTGTATGTATGTATGCATGTGTGTATATCATGTTATTTCTGCAGAGTTTGAATCTTACATTTGAGAAGTAAATCTATTCCCACCCACATCCCCTACAAATTGTCCTAAACCTATACACATAGAGAGAAAAGCA